ACGTCCTCCGCCGCCGAAGCTCTAAAGGCTCGGCGCGCGTGGTTGAGGGTTTAGGGTTCAGATTCAGGGTTTAGGGTTTAGGGTTTAGGGGTTTAGGGTTTAGGGTTTAGGGTTTAGGGTTCAGGTTTCAGGGATTAGCGTTCAGGGTTTAAGGCTTACTGCTGAGGAGCTTGAATTGTGTTACTATAATGAGAGTAGATAGGGTTTAGGGCCTAGGGTTTAGAGTTTAGGGTTACTATGATCATGAACCCCATTATTTACTGTAGAGCCATACTATGGTAAGTTGAAATTCATTGCTGAACAGCAACCCAGCCTGTGCATGTAGGACGGTTTCCCACTTCTCGCTCATCTTCTGCAACTTTACTGACGCTTCAGTCTCCAAGCCCCGAATTGTTGCTGCGCCGGTCACTTCAAACATCGCCGACGCGGAGGCAGTAAAAAGCTGCAGAGACATCTTGGGGTTGGTAACACGGATTTCAGGTCCGACGAGGACATCCTCTTCAACGCGGCCTTCCAAGGTAATGCCCTCCCCAGACAGCGCACCAGTCAGGTTACAGCTGAGATTCTGAATGCTCGGAGTTCTCATCCTTGCAGACAGCAGGAAACCTCTCTGCAAAGCCCGCCCTTGAAATTCCAAATCTGCGGTAGCAACGCTGAGATTCAGATCCTCCAAGTCAACAGGAAAGGCTGGGAGTTCAATTGCCTTACCGAACAAATGCTCTTCAAGCCAGGTGATGGATGTCATGATCTTGGGCAAGGCTGCGTAGAAGCCAAGACCAGAGCTTCCAACAGTCCCAGCAATCACCAATCCTTCGTCACCAGGTATTGCCAGGACTGCAACAACAGATAAGTCTACAGAGCTGCTGTCGTGCCTGAGGTCACCTTCTACGGAGAAAGTTTCGAGAGAAAGTCTGCCAACATCGATCTCCACCGATACGTTGTCGGCTGCACCTGTGACCCGCAAAGCGTCGCCAATCTCAAGCACCGAGCAGCTGAGCAATACTTGGTCATGCAGTCGCAAGCCTCGGATAGATATACGGTCCCGATGATTTTTCATTTCAATATTTACCTTATTAGTTTTTTGAGCTTGTACAGGGATTGTGGCCTGTTATTCCTATTCATGTATCATATACGGTTGTATAGGGATTATGGCACATCATAATCCAGAGCAAAAAAGCTCTTCCCAGCAATACCCCAGGAGCGCCCATCAAGCGCACTACTCCATTCCCAGGTGTGTGACTGGTCAGTGTGCTCAGTGAGGTCAATAGACTCATAGAGCGTGAGGGACAAGTCAACGTCAAGCAGTTCTAGGCCATACGCCAGAGACACCCCCTGCGTGCCATTGAACATGGTTTCCTTGCTTGGCTTTTCGAGCCCTTTGAGAAATGTTAGTATGTCGGGTCCTCTGGAAAATACGAATAAAAGGATAATAGTTAGATATCCCAACCACTATGGGCTATTAGACCTTAAGGGTACCTTAATCTACCCTTAATAGGGACCTAATAGGGAATTTTAGGGTCTAATAGCCCATAGTGGAAAGACCAACCCAGTTTCCGTGCTGAATGACATCATCCGCGGTTGAATTCGCTGTCCTTGCTGCACCTGCTCGAGGTCCTTACGGCTCATCACCACCACGCCCTCCATCATGATCTTGGCCTCTTCCTGGGTTGCTGTTAAGG